GTGAATAACTTGTCAAGTTATGGTTCATAACCAGACAAATTATGGACAACATCAGTAATTTTGCCTATTTATTAACTTATGTAAACTACTGGCCTATTAATTTTAATTCATCTTAAGTGTTGGCCTATTTTCCTCTTTCTCCCTTTAAAATATCACCTCAGATTCTGAATCATGATTCAGAATCAATTAAGCCAAATATTGATTCTAAATCATGATTCATAATTATTGTAAATAAATACTTATTCTGAACCAGGATCTAGAATCATGATTTTAGATCCATTTACCCTAAGTGTCTTAACACTTTAATTACAAGCTACTACACTTTTGAGTGGGTGCCCACGCAGCATGGCTAGCAGTGAGAAACACGAATATGAATTATGAAAGACTCCTTACGGGTGTAATAAAAAACCTTTTTAATTCCTTTTCCCAGAAAAGTGTTCTTTTATATTCTGTGAATTTTCACTCTTGCTTGGTGCAAAACTACTTTAAAAACTTATCATATTAATCTACTCTCTCAACCGAAAAGGGAGTAAATAATGCTTTTAAAAAAAGTATTTTATACGTGTTTCAAGTCTTTATTTTTATATTTCTAACCCCATATACAATGCATTCAATTTTTATTAACAACTATTAGAATACTATATAATGTATATCGAATTATTGATAAAAGAAGCTAAAACTAAACGTCTATCGAATGGATGCACTTGATTATGGCTTCCATAGAGCAAGTTAAATCCATTATGTGTGTGTGTGTGTGTGTGTATATATATATATATATATATATATTATGAGTTTTGAGTTTTGAGTTTTCTAAGTCCAAACTCAATTTAAGCAAGTTATATCCATTGCACGCATATATTGAAAGACAGCATGAACAAAACAAAAAAGGAAATGGTTGTTGATCATCATGAAATCTTTCGTTTAATGCTACATCATAAAAGTAAAAAACTTAAGTTGTGAGGAGTAAATAATTTGAGGAAATTTTCTAAAAGTACTTCAGAAATTAAGATTTCGCGCTTTTTTTTTTTTTTTTTTTTAAAGATTGGAATTTGAACTCTAAACTTCAATATTATTGGAAAAAGTATCGAGGTTATGCTTTTTGATGTTCATGATTAAAGTATTATTTCACGATGTACACATATCACTAACACAAAGAACGCACACGGGTTATTAAGGGAAAGATACCAAACTACCTACGAATATGAGTGTTGTCTTTCCCTCTTTGATCAAACCGAATTTAAGAGCTTCTTTTTTTCTTTTTTTTTTTTGGGGTAAATTTTCATTTTTACTTTAATTTTTTTTCCAGTTAATAGTAATATTAAGAACACCAACTCTAATACGTGTTATCTTTTTATTATTAAATGTAATATCTTGTTATTAACTAATGTGTGAATCTTTTAAACACCTACCACTAAAAACTGATAACCTAAATTAGATAAATTAGGATTAGCTTTTGTGTCACTAGTATTATTTTCTATTTCGTTCGTTTCGCTGATTCGAGTTTAAAATTTGAGTTTTACTACAGTAGAAAGCTCTCATAAACAGTCACATCTATTTTTTTTTTTTTTTGCTACAGTTAAAAGCTCTCACATAAAATCACATTTCAACTTGAATCAGCGAAACGAACGAGGCCAATATTTCCAATATTTGTATTTTCATGAGATCCTATAAGGTTACAAATAATTAACCTTAAACAAGAAGGTAATAAGTAAAGACGAATGAAGATTTTAAAGGCCCATTCCTATTATTCAAGGTTCCAAAAATTAATATCGAGAAGGATCATTAATATGTGCACGCTATTTACACCTAAAAAGGAAAAAAAAAATATTAAAGTCCATTAGTTTTGTTTCCTGATCCCTTAAAGAGTATAATTAATGTGAATCTTGATATTTTTAATTCTATTACAAATATGATACAATAAAAATATGGAAGTTCACATATTTAGTCGCCAGTGAGGTTCATAATTCACAAAAAAAGGAAAAAAATAATTAAGTAGGAATTGATACACATAAAAAATAATAATAATAATAAACGAAAAAACTTTGCATGACTCTGGTTATTACTTTTTAACTGGTAAATACAAATTAATTTTAAAATAAGAATAACAATTCAGATATCACCTTACTAGTTATTAAAAAGTTTGGACCACATTGGAATATGATTTGAGAGAAGATACATATATGGTTCAAATGAAGCCCGAAATGCCAGTTAGATTCATTAAGCACTGTTTCAGAGAGAAAATATTAAAAACCTTAAAATAATATACATATCTACATGTATAAATCTATCATCTATCAACCTACATATAAAAAAGCAGCAAGTTGCTGCTTGGTTTGACGCGTGGCAGGGATTACGTTCCCCATTTCATTTTTTTTTTTTTGGCTTATGTGATTGTGGATTTTGTTTGGGTTATTGTTGGCTTCCTGCATGTACTAACGGGTGCGTTTGGAATTGATTCTAAAACGTTTTTGTTTTCTATACGAAATGAAAATGAAAACGTTTTTAGTTTCATTTTTGAATTATTTCTGAAAATGCGTTTGGTAGTTTTATTTAGAGATTGATTTCAATTTTAAAAAACACTGAAACTGCGTTTGGTGGTTTAATTTTTAAAAACATATAATAATATATTAAATAAATAATATTATTAAATATATTAAATAAATAATATTATTAAATATATTAAATAATATATTAAATAAATATATTGACTAATAATATATTGAATAAATATATTAAATAAACATCATTATATAAGACAAAAACGGTTTCAGAAAAGAGAGAGAAGAAAATGAAAAAAAAAAAAATGAAATCCGTTTTCAGAAAACGAAAACGAGAAAATGAAAACACTATTAAATAATAATATATTAAATAAATATATTAAATAAACATATATAATATAAAAACGGTTTCAGAAAAGAGGGAAGAAAATGAAAAAAAAAAAAAAAAAAGTGAAATCCGTTTTCAGAAAACAGAAAACGAAAATGAGAAAATGAAAACACATTTTTTTCGTTTTCTGATTTCCACAAAAAGATAAAAACGTTTTTGGTTTTGTTTTTTAAAACAATTTACACCAAACACGTTTTTAACACCCGTTTTCATTTTTTTGCTTTGAAAATCGTGAAAAATGAAAATGAAAACACAAACAAACAGACCCGTGTTTCTTCTCCTTTTTCTGTTTTGGGTTGCTTTTGTTTTTTTGTATGTTTGGTTGTCGTTATTTTTCTTGGGTTGTCGTTGGCTTGTTAGAGGTTTTTTTTTTTTTTTTTTTTTTTTCTTCGCTCGTTGTTTCTTGCGTTTATTCATTTCTTTTTCTTTTAATTTCTGATCATGATGTTTTATAATAAGAAAACAATGGGTCCACGTAGAATAGAAAAAAGCACTACTAATATATTTGTTAGCCATCAAAGAAAAATTTATGCCTGTAACTTGCAGGTTTATAATATTAAAAATTAATATGTATTTTTTCCTATTTATATATATGCTGATGATCCCTATTCATTTAAATATATGAAGGACTCGTTTATTTCACCGATTTAAATTTTCAGTTCTAAGTTTTTACAGTTAAAAGTTCTCAGAAAATGTCACATTTAACTTTTTTTGCTACAGTTAAAAGCTCTAAAATAATATCACATCTCAGCTCGAATTAAAAACTTAAATCCGCGAAGTGAACGAGGTCGGAATTTATACATATATATAGGTATGGTTTTAATAGTCACTAAAATATTCACTCATCGGAGAGTGGTATTATTTTAATAACGTGATATTGATACGGCAGTTATATTCAATTGAGTAGTTAATCAAACTAATTTATAGTTATTAATGGTTGATTTTTTATCATGTCACATAATTTAATTTATATATATATATATTTAATAAGTAACCATATATTGAAACGTAATCATTATAAATTTGTCTAAACTTTTTTATCTTTTTTGCATTACTTTTGTATCGTCTTTTTGATCTAATTGTCAATTGATTTCCTTTGCACCATAGTTTTTGAAGGGGAAAGAAAACTTAAGAGAAAACAGACATAGAAAGAATAAAAAAATTAGTAAATAGAACGCTAAGCCTTATTTTTTTTTTTTTATAAAAGGGTTTTATTTTCATCATAGTGATATGAAATTATTCTTGTTCACATTAAAGATAAGTTAACCAAAATATTTGCTTTTGAATTAAAAAAAAAACTTATAGTACTTTAATTTTTATTTTAATTTGTTAGTGAAAATTTTGATAGAAACTTTTGATAAATTATTCTACCACACTTATAATTCACTTAAGACATTCTTTTATAAATATATCAGACATTTATTTTATGAGAAATAAAAAATATTATCTCTAAAATAAATGCAAAATAATTATTAGATTATAAACAAAAAATTTACTTCTATGTCAATTTTCGAGTGCTTGTGGTTTTGAACGAACTTTGAACATGCTCTATATTTTTTATGTTGAACGGATCTATCTCTGTAAGTCTCTACACCTATTTTCGTCCTTATGCTACGGTGTCTTCGTTGGTACATCTAATAATTAGTTCGGAATGAATCTCTTCTATAATTGGGACTACTCATTTTTTGTGTAATTGTTTCCTATGCAATAAAATGTTTTCCCTATTAAAAAAAATAGTTATATTGTCCGATTAATCTTTTATAAGAAAATATGATTATGTTTATTTCATCGATTTGAGTTTAGAATTTAAGTTCTGTTACAGTAAAAAACTCTCAAAAATAATCACATCTAAATATTTTGTTATAATAAAAAATTCTCATATAAAATTATATCTCAACTCGAATTAAAAACTCAAATCAACGAACTAAACAGGTTTTATGTATATGGCAAATTTTTTTTTTTTTTTTTTTTTTTTTAAGGAAATACATGGCAAATTTGGTAAGCTAGTGGTGGGTGTCGAAATCGTAAATAGTTGCCCAAAACATGTCCTTTTTCTATAAACACTCCACTTTAAAAACACACCCATATGTTTTACAGCAAACCACCATCGTCATTTCCCCTTCTTTCTTCTTCTCACTCTCTGCTAGAGTTTCCCGATTCTGGAGAGAGAAAGACTCAGCCCATTCCTTATCTTGCCCTCCCACTAAGACCCCAACCCACAAATACACCAAGGCCAAATTAGTAATTTCGAGATGGCGGTGAAAAACAAGAAATTCGGGGTCCTGCTGTGCGCAGACGACACGGAGTACGTGAAGAAGGTGTACGGGGGGTACTTTGGGGTTTTCACGAGAATGCTGGAGGAGGAAGGGGAGACGTGGGAACTATTCAGGGTGACAAGTGGCGAGTTCCCGGACGACGATGAGCTCGAGACTTACGATGGGTTCGTTGTGACCGGCAGCAGGAAAGACGCCCATGGAACCGACGCCTGGATCTGCAGGCTTTTGGCTTTTCTAAAGAAGCTTGATTCCTTGAAGAAGAAGGTTCTCGGCATTTGCTTCGGACACCAGGTAAACTAATTAACTTTTTTTTTTTTTTTCTTTTTTGGGTGCTTGTTTCCTACTTTGTTTTAGTTTTAGTTTTTTTTTTTTTTTTCCTCCTCAGCGTATAGTCGGAGCCTTTGTGCCTTTGTTTTTGGTAATCTCGGTAAGTATTTTTTAAAATACATGAGTCAAGATTTTTATTTTAAACTCTTAATTTATAATTTTTTTAATTAAATAATTACACTAATAAAAGAATACTTATTAAGAGTAAGAGATAAATGTCTAAATTCATAACCAATTTCATAACGCTCGTAGCCGATTTTTGCCGCTAAGAAAAGCCCGTACAAATACAATTTAAAAGTACATGAGTCATGATTTTTATTTTTTATTCCTGATTTATAATTTTTTTAGTCAAATAATTACACTAATAAAAAAATATTTATCAAGAGTAAGCAGTAAACGTCCAAACTCATAGCCAATTTCGAAACACTCGTCGACGATTTATGTCGCTAGGTTGAAGAGCCCGCTTCCGCCGCGACCGTCGTTGTCGAACCCTCTCAAGAGGAAGCTTAGCATGGAGACGTTCGAGAGAACCCCGTCATTGGAACTTGCGAATTTGGTGTCCATTTATGGTTCGGTGTGGATTTTCTTTTCCAAATTGTTTTGTTCGTAATTGATGCAAAAAAGATGAGTTTTCCTTATGAATTAGCTTTCGATTTCTGACGATTTGGCGATTTCTTTGTCAATTTGGATCGGATTTTGTTGAGGATTCTGCGTAATTTTAATTTTAGGGTTTGCTGTTGCGATTGGGTAGGGATTGAAGGAGATAAATGTGAATTTAGTTTGAGGAAGAAACTGTGAAGCTTGAGCAGAAGAGAGAGTCGGTGGAACTTCCAAGTGAGTGAGAGTTTTGTTGTATCAAATTTGAAATTGAAGGCTGTGTTTGGAGTTATTTTTATTTTTGTTTTTCACATTTTTCGAGAAAGAAAAAATAAAAACGGGAAAGAAATAGAATTTGGCACAATTAAAGACAAACAACGGAAATGAAAACAATTTTTTGGTTTGGTGTAAAATAGGAGAGAAATGAAAAACGTTTTTTAGTCGTTTTTCATTTCTGTTTTCTCCTCTCACGAGTAGAGAGAAAGACACATTAATAGATTTTTTTTATACTGAAAACAATCTCTTAATAAAATTACCAAACACATTTTTAAAAATAATTTCTATCTAAGATTGAAAACGTTTTTATTTCTATTTTCATACAAAAAATAAAATCATTTTGAAACGAGTTCCAAACGCACTCAAAGTTTCTAGTTTCAATTCCTAATAATTGGGGTTTAGCCTAAAAGAAATAGAAAATAATATTTATTGGTAACAAATTTTTGCTTATTCTCTTTCTTTTCTTTTCTTTAATATCCCTTAAGACCCATTTAAAATTAAGGCTATTTTAGTATTTTCATAGTAAAAGGGGTCATGTGAGGTCTTTGTACAATTTACCATGAGAAATTTGATAGAATTTAACGGAAAAATCTTAATTGCACTAATTTAAAAAAATTAGGGATACGAATATTAAAAAAATAAAGATTAAATGTTACCTAAAAGTTAAGGATCATATGTGCTAATTACTTTTTAAGATAATATAAGATTGAGTCTTGCCCTTCATCATGGTAATGAAATAAAAGTAAGATTTTTGTTAACTTCCCACTTTTAATGTACATTACTTGTTTACTTTTGTTTTTTGTTCTTGTCTGTCACGAGTCTTTTGGTATGCTAAGCTAACTTTTTTCTCCCTAATTTTTTTTTAAATTTTCTTTTCGACAAATTGTTAGAATTTTTTTTAGAAGGAAAAACAAAAGAAAGAAAAGGAAAACCACCTTAACTTTAGAGTGGTTATGTGTCACGGTGTCAGTTATGTATTTCAGTAGGAATAGGATTATATAGCATACTCTCCTTGTTTGCTTCTTTTCTTTCTTATCACTCCTAGAAGTTTTTCTTTTATTTTATTGCTTTTTTTTAAAAAAAAAAAAAAAAAAAAAAAAAAAAAAAAAGGAAATGAAGAGGTGACTGAAATTTATTGGATTTTGGGTGTTTTGGGTATTGCCATTTCCGTTTCCAAAATTCCAATAGCGACGAAGGTTAATAAAAAGAAAAACAAAAACAAAAACAAAAACAAAACGAAAAAATGAGCTGCAAATAGGAAATTTTGTTGACATCTCATTGGTAGTTTTGAAAAGGAGATAATGACAAAAAGACGTGTTAAATTATTGGAATTTCGACAATTTGTCTATTTTATACACATTTGTTTTCCTTTAAAATTGGATTGAAAATATTTTTTTTAACTGATTTTTTCACGTTATATTCTTTGAATCCATTAAATAAGGAGATAACTTCGTTGTATTTTCATTAAGCCCCACCGATGTGGGAGGTTTTTACCATTATTTTGTCGAAAAAGTTTTAATTTATTCATCCAAACGTCTAATGTCATTTAGATCTAATAACTCTACAAAACACCTCGAGCTGTTTATCAAATTTAAACACCAAAACGTATGACAACACATTTACTAATATTTTATCCATCAAACAAGATATGCATTACCAATTTAAATACCATTTTCTGATTATATTTTAAGAAATTTATTGTCACATCTTTTTCTATCTAAAGTTCGATAAATAATCTAGTGCCTATAATATTAATCTTTTTTTTTTTTTACACTATTACACCTTTTTAGGGTAATTATTAGGCTTTTATAAGAATAAAAGAACAAATAAAATACAAGTTTTTCAAAAATATTTGGATTGGATCCGTGTGGAAGCAGGATGGCCGCGGATATTGTTGTACTGTCGCGTGGGGATTGAATGCTCAAAGTGTTTGGAGTGTTGTCAATCTCACATAAACTTCATGCGCGAGTAGTCCTTTGTTCGTACGATTTCAGCGCTCGTGTGTTCCATGATAGATTCTGTGTTTCAACGGTTTGGATTTATTGTCGATTCTATTTATAAGAATCCAAATCAGGACATTCTGATTGGGCCCACACAGTATTCACTCGGCACCTGTTGCGTGGAATGTACTTGTCAGGTTTCCATCTTAGACGAGCCCCCCCTTTTTTTTCTTTTTCTTTTTTCTTTCTTTTTTTGATGATTGGGAGGAGTAATTTAAGTTTTTTATTTTATATTAGAGAAGTAACTCTTTTTTCAAGTACACGAAAAATAATTTGACATGTTAGGATTAGTATTTCACTTAGCTTAATCAATGGAAATTTTTTAAAATTGACCCTTAAAAACTAATAAAAAATTAATATTGTTTATTGTGTTCACTATTACTCTTTATTTTAATTTATTTAAGTTGATCTGTTCAATAAAATAATAATTACAAGTACGAGGTCAATAATAAAAAGATAACTATTATAAAATGGTAGTTTTGCATTGTTCTCTTAGCAATAGAGCGAATAGTTCCCCTTTCTAGGAAAATATCTAGGTATAACCAATATACATATATAGTTCAAGCCAAAAAAAAAAAAAAAGAAGAATACATATATGGCTGCCAAAAATAGAAGAATGTATACATTCGGGATTACTCTATGCTTTCACTCAAAAAACAAAATTTTGAAAAGAAAGAAATAGAAATCCCCTATGCTAACACCACCTTTTCTCTCTATCCAAAAAAAAAAAAAAAAAAAAAAAAAAAAAAAAAAAAAAAAAAAAAAAACCTTTTCCTCTTTTTTTGTTTTTGTTTTATTGTTCGAAACAATATTTCCTACATGCCGCTATTTTTTTTTTTTTTTTTCTAATCCTTTATGCCGTTAATTAAGCTAATTTGATTTTGCCCCTAAACAGCCTTTGGGACCTAACCTACTACCATAATGAGGAGTTATATTGTTTCACAATGGTGGGTTCCACTGGTGGCACCATTATGTTTTAGGATATTTATATTTTTTTACTTTGTATTTTTAGGTTATTCGAAAAACATACCCTCAATTTTTAATTACATCAAATGTAGACCCTCGTTTAATACACAAATTCATACATTTTATGGATCAACATTCCATTTTGAGCACAAATGAAAAGAAAATTGGCTAGATAAAAAAAAAAAAAAAAGCCAATGGAGGTAAATAGTGGCCGAGAGAGACCATTAACTTGACTTTAAATTCAACCCAAATTACCCAGATTTACTATTATTTGCCATTGCCGAGAGAGACTGTACCCAAACATGTCCACAATGAAATCCTCCATGCAACCCCATGGATTAGCGTAGCCATGAATATGTTCTCCATCAAAATCTGACTTTACCAAAATCTCGCAAATCTTTTATCAACGTAGCAAGAAATTCACCCAAAACACCAAAAGCAAATGATCTATACATGCTTCTCCTGGCGTGGAAGCGAGACAAACCTCTCCTTGTCTTGACATGGCCGTTCTCGTCGTCAAAGTCAGTGACGGAACCCCTAAACGACCAAGAACCCGGAGGTCGCAAGCCTTCCCATCGCCACGCTCGCTGCCCGCTTGAGTACTTCGTACGTGGGATGAGGATGGGGCTGAGATGCCTTCGGCAGTGGTTGAATATGGCTGGGTTGGGTAGCGGATATCGTGGTGAGGTCAGGGAGGATTTTTTTTATTTTTTTTTCCTTTCATTTTTCAGGGGTTTTTTTTTTTTTTTAGGGTTTTTTCTTTTAGTCATCGTTTATTTCACCGATTCAAGTTCTGATACAGTAAAAAGCTCTCAAAAACAGTTACATTTAATTTTTTTACTATAATAAAAAAATTCACATAAAATCACATCTCAACTCGAATCAGCGAACTAAACGGACCCTTAATATTTTCTACATTCAAGGGTATTTTGGGTATTGAAAGATTAAAATTGAGTTTTGATTGATAAGAGATTTGGATTTGCCTATTAAATCTAATGCGAAAGTATGTGTTTGGTGAGGTTAAAAATCAGAGAGGTATATTTTTTAAATAAACTTAAAATAGGAGCTACAAAAATGTAAATAACCTTGTTTTTTAATTTTTTGAGAAAAAATTGTTTGTTAAATTTTGGTTGGCCAGTGGGCACATGGTTGACGCTGTGCCAGCTAAGAAGCACACATCCTTCTTCTTTTCTTTTCTTTTCTTTTCTTTTCTTTTTTTTTTTTTTTTTTTGATGAAGTAAATGCTTACCCTACAAATCACTAGGACTTGAAACTTAACTAGAAAGCATATGTCCTTCAGTGCCCATTCTAGTGGGTAATATAAATTCCACCTTTCTAGAACAAGACAAACTCCTCAATTTTGGCCTTTTTTTCCTCCCCGTTTTTTGCCATTGCAATATGTGGTTATATCATAATCATAGGAAGTCTTATGAACCATAGTCTAAGATCACTCCATGAGATTTGCAAATTGTTGGAAAATCATTCCATTAATTAGGATAAGCTTCCACATAAGATCTTTGTCCTATATATTAACTTATTAGCTCTGAAAGATAATGTATATCCAATATATTATATTATATTATATATATATATAGTAGAAAATCTAAAATGACCCTAATGTAGAGAAAGCGGGATATGTACGTATATATGTGTTAAAAAACTTTGCGTGTCACGTACCACTGTTGTCGGTCGATAAAATCACTCTTAACTCGTGGAAAATGGTGGTGACTCTTCTTGTATTCATTTTTTATTACATGATGATATATTAATAAATTGCCTTTATACCTAGGGCAGTACATATGTGCCCATTTGTTGAAGCAAACGTCATTTTAATTTAATTATCTTCATAGTCACATGCATGGTTTCATGGCAAAACGTTTATGGGTTGTTGTCCCCCATTGATGTCGTAGGATAGAGGGCCCACAAGGAAATACATTATTATATATGCAACACGTTAAACAGTAAATAAACATTTTTTAGTGGACCACCTATAATTTCTTTTTTTTTTTTTTTTTTTTTTTTTTTTTTTTTTTTTGGCTAGTAGTGTCATTTTCAAGTTGATAGTATGGGCGGTTCCTCCACTTAATATGGTCAATTAATAAAATTCTTCTCCACTTTTAAAGATGATTTTCACGAAGAAAGTTACTAGTTATTGTCACCACGATTTTAATCATGATTAGTGATTTTTAGAGTTCATGTGCTCTTTATCGGACGCTTTATCTCATACAATTATTATGTTAATATTACCTTTTTTTCTTTTCTTTCTTTTTTTTTTCTTTTTTTTTTTTTTTTTTTTGGGTTAGCGGTACTTTGAGTCGTACAAACCATACATGATATGTCGTTCTTTTGTGCTAGAATTCATAGTGGTAACACTTTTGCTTGGCAAAAGAGGAAAATTTGTACTATTTTGATATGATCATTGTTATTTATTCGGTGTGCACAATTTTATGGAGTTTGTTAAAAGGAGAAAAAGGGGGTTAGGGTGTTGAGCAGGAACACCACTATAGTATATGTATTGGGTACACAAGTGCGTGATTACATTGACAAACTTTATTGTGCTTTTTTTATAGAATAAGAATTTGACTTCCATCAATAAATAATGCTAACTATAACTTCTGAAATCATCAACATCTCTCTAACAAGAAATCCCAATCTTCACCTATTATCAAGGTTCTTCATTCCTTTAAGTTGTTTCTAGTGTTAAAAATATTTTTGTATTCTCATTGTTTTTTCCTTGGTTAGATATTAAGCCGGGCATTGGGAGGGAAATCAGGCCGTTCAATCACAGGGTGGGATATAGGAATCAGAACCGTCCACTTTTCATCGTCATCAAAGTTCTTCTCATGGCTCAAAATGCCAAACCTACTCTGCATCTATGAAATTCACCGAGATGAGGTACTTTTTGTACTCAAACTACTTCAAACTAAAAAAAAAAATGTTAAACAAAATTTATCAAACCAATTTAGCATTAAAATGTGACATAACTATAACATGTATTGTGTTGAAATTAGGTGTGGGAGCTTCCGCCAAAGGCCGAGGTAATTGCATGGTCTGATAAGACTGGAGTGGAGATGTTTGGATATGGTGACCACATTTTGGGCATCCAAGGTCACCCTGAATACACCAAGGACATACTTCTTAACCTCATTGATCGTCTAGTCAAGCTCGATCACATCGAGGTAGGTCGTTCATCTGATCAAACCCTAATCATCGATTAATTTCTCGTATAGTCAATCTATCAACAAGTATTCGTTACATAAGGATCACAATTTTCATTTGTTTCTTGTAGGACTCCGAATCCGAGGAGTTGAAAGCCAAGGTGGAGGCGGCACGCGAGCCCGATAGGGAGGCATGGAAGAGGTTGTGCATTAGCTTTCTCAAGGGTGGATTATGATGGTGAATGTTCAATTTCTAGAAGGAAACCCTGGAAATGGAGAAGTGGGGGAAAAGAAAAATAATGGATATATAAGCTGGTGTTTTGTTATTATAAAAAAAAATAAAAAAAAAACTGGTAAGTTAAGGTTCTGAAGTAGTGTGTGTTAGGCAGTAAGCCATAATGGAATTGTGAGTGCTTAAATACTTGTGCTAATCCCTTGTTAAAAAAAAAAAAAAAAAGGACTTGTGCTAATAACATCTAATTAGTTAATTAACAATTAATGTTTTTCACTTCTATGCTAAGTTTTTGGAAGTTGATGATTTTGAACCTCGATCTAATTGGTAGATCCCCCGCCGTGGATGATTTATCTCCTTAAAGTTCCTTAAAACTTTAAAAACAAAAACGTAAAGCGCTTCAGTGTGATTATTAGCCTTTAGCTTCTACAATAATATCTACAATGAAAGTGTGAATGTATATACCGGAATGGAGCTTTTGTTTGATAAGAAGAAAAAAGGGGAAGGAAACAAAAAAAAACAAAACAAAGCACCACAACCAAAAAGAGACTTAAAAAAATAAAATAAATAAATAATAAAAAGACAACCAAAATGAACGATTTAATTAACAAAACGCATTCCGCCAAGGGAATGAAACTGGCCTCACTCACTGTCTAGCTAATCTGCCGTTGATATGTCGTGTTTGGAGGAGATCATATCATGGGTTTCATTTCCGCCTACGTAAATGAATTGTGAGAACACGTGATGTTCGAGAACTTCGCATGATAATATACAAGAACCATTCTTATGGAGAACATGAAATTCCAAGGGATAGAGATGCGCCTCACCTTAGGCCCGCTATGGGCTTGGGCCGGGCCTGACACGGCCCTAAACAGTTCAGGATCGTGCCTGAACCGGGCATAAGAGAAGACCTTCAGGCCTAGCCCTGGCCCAGGCCCTTGTCCGTAAGGGCCAAGGCCGGGCCCAGGCCCTTCACGGGCCGGTCCTGACCCTTTTAATATTTAATGAAAAAAGAAATATAGCATATGCCTCAAAAGATGTGATTTTATTGAATTGAAATAATACGAATAAGTACACATAAATGATTGTCTCGTTAAAAACCTTACCAAGTAAAACACGTGGGGAAGACAAAACTTTAGCGAAGGAAAAAAGAATGCAGTATACAAGGATAAGTAAATTACACTGTGGCCGAATTGCTTTCAGAAGATTCTTTTATGTCTAAGTTTGAAAAATATTCTTGAAGTGTATCATCTGTATAGTGTTGGTTTCGTCTTCTGGCATCTTTCCAGTCTTTCACGCACATTAGCCCCTCCAAGATATCCAGATAAAATCTGATCCTCTTCTTGTCAAGAATTCGATTGCTTGCACTAAGTGCTTGCTCCGATGCTACCGTTAACACTGTAGTTGTCAAAATGTCACGTGTTATTATGGACAGTGTTGGAAAACGATCTGTCTTAATCTTCTACCACTGTAAGATGTCCAGTTTGTCGTCATCAATTATAAAATTTGATTCAAAATATTTTACTTGTTTTGAAGACGCTTATGTTGATGACGAACCCGAAGCTTTCTCCTTCCTCTTTAAGAAGCTCTACGAAGGCCCCGAACTGCTCCTTGACGTCGAAGTTGCATGTTCTTGTTGTCATGTTCCATATTTTTTTCATACAAAGCAAACAAGTGTTCTAACATTTTCCTAGCCTCTTCTATGGTTAGTTGCATACCAATACCTAAATTATTTGCTATAGCATACATCAAACATTCGGTCCCAACTAATCCGCATCTAGGATCTAAAATAGTTGCTAATGAATATAACATAGGACAACCGACCCAATAACTTTTAAATTTAGCTTCCATTTCATTAACTATAGGTCCAAAAAGATCAATATCCCTATAAAATGCAAATGTTTCAAAAATATTAAATAATTGATGCAAAGCTAGATGCGCAGTAGGATAATAAACACCAGAAAGTAATTCGGTAGCGTTATAAAGTACTTCTACAAATTTAAAAAAGTACTCACATATCTTCCAATCTGCATCGTAAATAAAATGCTCACCATGATTACTATTCACGTACGTAGTGATGATATGTTGATACGGAATTACAGTCTTCAACATTAAGTAGGTGGAGTTCCACCTATGTCTCACATCAGTTGGAACCTTTCTTGGCCGCATCTGTTATTCCTGTAATATTGTCAAAATTCTTGGAGCCGAGCTCCAGAACTAGGTATGAAAGATAACGATTCTCTAATTTTTGTTAGATTATGAGAAATAGATTCAATAGCTGCTTGTACTACTAAATTAATTATATGACATGCACACCTTTGATGAAAAATTTGACACCAAAAGGTGCTTTCAAATTAGCTTTAAACATGTTAATAGCAGCTGTATTAGTTGATGCATTATCAAAAGTAATTGTTAAAACTTTATCTTCGATCCCATAAAAATTAAAAATTTCCATTATAGTTGAAAAAATAACATCTGCATTATGTGAAAATGGACATAAATGAAAACTAATTATTTGCTTTTGTAAAATCCAATCCCCCTTAACATAATGTGTCGTGACGCATAAATAACCAGTTTTATTGCACCCTTCCTAAAGATCAGAAGTACATGAGACTATAGTATTAAAAGACCTAAAATTATCAACTAGAGATTGTCTCATTGCATAAAAAACTTTCATGCAATCAGCTCGAGTTGTGTTTCTACTTACCCATTTAAATTGTGGACAGAATACCATCTGAATGAATTCTTCAAATGCTGAATCATCTGCAAAAGACAAAGGTAATTCGGCACTAGCTAAAAATTTAGCTAGTGACGTTGTGTATCATATGTAAAATTTTGTAAACCTTGTGATGTGAGTGATAGTGTTTGTTGGCGGGAGTCCACACTACCACCTTAGTGCAACAGTAGACATGCTTTCTAATGTCTATCAAGATGGACAGTACCCCACCCTTTTTGTTAGAAAAATATTTTTTACAATATTTACATACCGTGCGCATTTCAACTTCACATGATTTTGGATTAGGCCGTAGCTCCTCGGTGAAATGTTGCCATGCAGGAGCAGTTCGCGGTCTTTTTTCCTGGCACGTTCTCTAACTTCCTCATTGTGCACCGATTGATTATCAACTGGAACAGTATCTAGTTCAGTAGGGTTAGAGTTATACATCAATATTTTATCCTCGTAAAATGATTGATCTCCAAGATCAGGGAAATCATGGAAATTTCCTTCCGTAATTTTCTGTAACATAAATTCATGTTAACAAAAGGGTTTATAAACAATAAACAATGTAATTAAACATTAAATAGAAAACATATTATATCAAAAATAATTAGAACTAAGATTCAATACCTTTGTTTTTCAGGATGTGGTGAAATTTGATTGAAAATTGTAAACGAAACAATTAAGAGAAACTTAAGAATCGAAAGAGAAAACTAAGAATCAAGGAGAGGATATGAGAGATAGAGTTATGAGAGTGAGAGGAGTTGAGAGTTGAAAGAGAGGCAGAAGTGTAAAGAATGTTGTGAGTCAAGTAGGGTATTTATAGGGATTTTTAGAGGGATTTTCAGTATATAGCCGTTGGGAACGTCACCGACCGGGCCGGATCTATCCGTTGCAGACCCTTAGGCCCATGACGTGCCGGGCTCAGTGTGATCGTTGGACACGCGACGGGCCCCGTGCTGGGTTGGGCCAGTGCCTCCCACGGGCCTGGGCCGTGTCAGGGCCGCGGGCTGGGGATTTGCAACCCAACCCTAACCCACGAGGTCCATCACAGTACAGAACCGGACCGTACCAGACCAGACACTGAAGTAGGCTGGGCCGGACCGTCCATGAACAGCCCAACCCAATTGACAACGCTACCAAGGGAACTCCAGTTAATTACTTAAAAATTATGGGACTCTGAAAATGCACCCTAAAGATCAATCTCTTTGGTAGTATTGAAAACAATGGTATCCTTGTTTTCCTCAATTTAAAACTAGTTTTGGGAACTGCCTATAAATACATCCTTATATATAAATTGGTGGAACTTTTGGCCAGTTTGAGACAGAATTACCACAGAAGGTAGAACAGGAGAGAGAATCCAAAATGATATTTGTAATTTTTTCTTTTTTTGGTGGAAGAAGATATTTATAATCTTTCATTATTAATAAAATTCGCTGGTAGATATAGGTCTGATTAATGACCAAAGCACTAGAAAAAATTTTGCTTTTCTCTTCTACCACCTCCTAGAATATGGCAGATAATCCAAAAAATAGAAAACTATATTAGTTTCTTTAAAGGGTTTTTCTCTTATAAAGCTTTAGTATAGATAAGGACAGTTTTTATCATTAAATCTAATTAAAATCATATCATATTAAAAAAAAAAATATTTCTCATATAGACATGAAGATTGAAAATAGAATATTTTTGATAGTTTATCTTTTCAGAGTTTATCGGATAAATCTTATTCAAATGCAAATTGATGCTTATTAAGATTATTTCTCTCACCTTCGTGTCAACAAGTCTGAGTCAACCTCATGAATGAAGGTTTAAATCTCTCAAGAAGATAATTATGCTATTGGAGTCATTATAAACCTTATAATCTCTCTTTTAAAAATGAAAATTCACTGTAGGACTTTTTTTTTTTTAATTGATAATACGTACTTTTTGTTGGATTAAGTTTTCAATAACTTTGTATTATATAATATAAAATTTTAACATAAATTTCCACAAATGAAGTAGTTAAAATCTTAATTAAACAGTTCAATTAGCAATTCTTACCGATAGTTAATTAAAATGAGAGTCCTATCATGAAAGTGCCCTCTAAATACTTGCTTAGATATCAGTATAGTCGTGCACTTGTCTTTCATATATCGATTATGTCTTTTCATATTTTCTAGTTTATTATGGGTCACTTTGCCCGGTGTTGGAGTGTTTGACACGGGTTTTGCAAGTTTTCTCTCTACTAATGATTTCTTTATACATTTTCACCCGATTCAAATTTAAAATTTAAATTTTATTATAATAAAAATTTTTTAAAAATAATTATATTTAATTTTTTTATTATAATAAAAAATTATATCTCAATTTAAATTAAAAAATTAAACGGAATATTAAAATATATAACTCGAAGATAAGACGGCACACTCACTGCTGATTTAAGTAACGTCCAATTACCTCATGATTTCGATAAGGATGTTTTCCCCCTTATTTTCTCCCGAACTTTCTTTTGTTCCTTTTTTTGTTTATTTGTGTTGTCGTTTCAACAAACCTCTCATGGGAACATTTACCAAACAGTAAAACAGTGTAATAAGATCAAATATCATTAATTTCTGTTTGTTTGATTATTAGATGTTATGATGAGAAATAATATGATTCCTTTTATAATATAGGTGTGTCTATTTCCTTTTTTTTTTTTTTTTTTTTTTACTTTACACACACCCTTTTTTAGTATCATTAAATTACCCATTAATATAATTATTATTAAGGAGAATAATATTTAAAAATAATCATTACACACCATCATAAGAAAAAACAAAAATAAGTGAATGTTGCCAGCAATTTCTGATAAGTTAAAGCAATTAAAGAATTGATTAAGGAAAAAAAAAAAAAAAAGCAATAAAGGAAGCAATGTTCGCGGTGGACATTGTCGCTTGTTGCCCTTCTACTCATAGAGCACTGTATGAATGGCCATAATAATATGAAATATATAAACTATCTTAGGTCTCGTTCACTTCGCTGATTCGAGTTTAGAATTCGAGTTGAGATGTGATTTTATGTGAGAGCTTTTTACTGTAATAAAAAAGTTAGATGTGATTGTTTGTGAGAGCTTTTTACTGTAAAAAAACTCAAATTCTAAAATCGAATCAGCGAAATGAATGGGACCTTAATCTCTTTGCTGTAAATACTGACGCATCATGACAAAAATATATAAATAAATAAAAGTTGACATCCCCGTTAAACAGTAACATCATAGAAGAACGGCAAAAAAAAGTTGGAGACCAATGTTCTTATTAACCATCTCTTCTAACAAAAAAAAAAAAAAAAGGCCAATTCAATTCCATATATATGAAAAAAAAAATACTAGAAAGAAAATGACAAGTTTGATTAGTACGGATGAAAAAAAGAAAAACAATACAATTAGTTATAGGGACTTTTTTAAAAAAAAAAATTTAAGATGGTGTAATGGTTAAAGAATGTGTGTAAAAAACAGCATTCGGGGTGATTTTTTTGAAATTTTAAGAAGGGGTAACAAGTAGAATAAGTAGTTTAAGAACGTGTGTGGAAAAAAAAGTGTCATAGACGTATCATTATAGTATTTATTAAAATTAAGAATATTATTATTATTATTATAATCATTAAAAAGTCTTTTTACACAATCAAATAATAATTAACTATATAGTAATCTATTAACGGTAGATAAGTAAATTAAGCATTTATTTCCTTTGTTAAGAAATCAATATAAAAGGATATAAGAATTGATATTGCCTAACTTTACTTTGACATTCAAAATAATGAAAATTCAAATTTTAAACCGTAACATTTATATCATCATGAGTTTTATAAAATTTTTCAACTTAAACCAGCATTTGTCTTTAGCATTTGTTTCAAAAGTGCGTTTGGAATTCATTTTAAAATAATTTTATTTTTTGTATGAAAATAAAAATAAAAACGTTTTGACAGAAATTATTTTTAAAAATGTGTTTAGTAGATTTATTAAGAGACTATTTTCAGTGTAAAAAAACTCATTAATGTCTCTCTTTCTCTCTCTCTTTCCGAGAGAAGACAAAATGAAAATAAAAAATGAAAAAACGACTCCCCTCCTCTTTCAATCGACACACTCGACGCAGATAGCTCCGGTGGCCCCGGCTTCTGCCTCTATCAAGCGGCGGCAACCCCCACCTCCATAGCCACAGCATGGAGGAGCAGCTCCTTAATCCGCACTACAACCAATCTAAATTTTCTCCATATCGATATATGATGCTAAACCGAGACCGAGATAGAGAGAGAGGGGGCTGCCCCTTTGTTGGTTTTTCGAGACAAAAGCACTCAAAAGTCGTTTTTCATTTCTCTCTCATTTTACACTAAACCAAAAAATCGTTTTCATTTCCGTTTTTTGTCTTTATTGAGCCAAACGCCGTTTTGAGAACATTTTCATTTTTTCTTTCTCGAAAAACATGAAAAATAAAAACGGGATCAATTCCAAACATGGCCCATGATATGTGTTTCTTCAATTTCACCTTCTTCAGCAAAGTCTGCACTACTAAAGGTAGGAATTATAGGAATACAAGAGGGACATACCTCCTGTATAATTTGAGGCTCTTTGACTCGCTCCTTCTTAACTACAGTATCTTGAGCAACTTCAGGGGAGTACTCACCAGGGTTGGCAATCCGGATAGTGACACGACGACACGATTCGAAATCTACACAAAATTAGCGGGTTTAAGTTTACTATAAATGAGTTTAGGTCATAATTAAGTTGACACGATTAATAAATGAGTTGGGTTAAGATTGACCTCCTAACACGAAGTTACATGAATCGACACGATTAACTATATGTATCGTCTGCAATCTAATGATATATGATATAACATGAAAATTTATATGACATATTAAATACAAATAATGTTAATTTTAATATTTGTAGGTAAAATTCATTTATTTTTCTTTAAAAAAAAAGATAAATTGACCAATAAACATTTTAAACATGTCTTGACCGTATTAAATAAGTCATTATTATATTAGTTATTTATTTAATATATTAATTTAGAAGGGTTATACGAGTTGACACGATTAATAAATAGATCGTGTTTGCGTTGACATTTTTAATATGTTTAATAAACAATGCATGTTTAGGTTGATATTTTCTGACACAACTAATAAACGGGTTGATACGAACACGACCCACTAACACGAATTGTCACCCAACCAAACGTCCCTCCAAATGAGATTAAATTTCAGTGGCTAAATTAATAGCCATCGATAAATTCCACACATACACCAAAGACATTTTCATCTCTAATCAATTCTCTTAATCCACTAACAAATCTAGCAACAACATGAATACCAAGTTCTTTAGTATCATTTGCAGCACTTGGATATTGAAACTCATCAGCATATTCACACACTTTCCTATTTCCTTGTTGACAATTTCTATATTGTTGAAACAAAACCATATCGAAGTTAGCAGGGAGAAATCGATCACACAATAGCTCTTTAATGCTAGCCCAATTTTGGGTGGACCTTTCTCCTCCCTTTTTCTTTGTTGCATTAGTCGACTCCAAGATTGAGCACAACCCCTTAATTTGCAAACCACTATTCGGACCTGCCTATATCTTCTTCCACAACAATACATTCAAAGCAATAATCCAGAGACAACAATCAATCTAAGAACTCCTCTATTTGATTACTACGGCCATCAAAAGTTTGAAGCTCCAATTAAGAGAAGAGTCAAGAGGATGAATACCGTGCAGATTCCTCTGGGGTTCTTGAGTTCCAAAATTTCTGGTGATATCATCAACAGAGAACCCCTCTAAGTCCGCAAAATCATCTCTATTGAAGCTTTGGAAATCTAATTGAAAAGTAGAAATTGGTGGTAGTAGATTGGCGGTAGTAGATCTCCCGCGATGCTCTGCTTCCTTCCTCGTTGTAATTGTCGCTGGACTCAGTAAGACAATTCAACTCGGAAATCCGTTGTGTTTTCTACATGAGTTTCGTCAAACAACAGTCTCAGAGGGACATCTTTGGTTTCCTGCTCTCACGGAGGTCTGGGCCGAACCCCTCGTGAAGCATAAACAGCAGACGCTCGATCAGAATCTTGCGTTGCGTCATACCCGTAGATCTCCAACTTGTTTAGGCCGACGGTGAGTGAAATCTCCCCCTCGATTCCGTCGGAGCTCTTGATTTGCCCAGTAGGCCTTCAACAGACCATGATCTTCGTTGAGGTACGGCGACTACTTTCTGCCATAGCCAGCCATCGGAGCTTAGGCCAACCTTCGCTCTGATACTAATTGATGTAGAAATCACGAGTAAACCTTAATGAACACAATTCCGACCAGGAAAAAGGGTGATTAAAATTGAATCAACCCTTATGGATAGATTAATCGGAGAAAACCTTAACTATTACAGGGATAGCCTCTCAGCCAAAGTTCAATACAAAACATCAACTTACTCTCCAAACAGCAAAACAAAAGAGATAAAACCCCAAACAATCTTATGCTAACAACGAATATGCATTCAGCTCCTAACCAAAAACACATAACGCACAAAAGACCATAAACGACAAGTCGTTCAGGCAGCACTGGTGATGTTCCCTGCATCACTAACATTTAACACGTATTTGCGGGAAGAAAAATGCTAGCATCCACCTTCATATGAAGGTGGAAACATCCTCCTTCATATCCTACAGCCTTTTTGGTCCCCATACTCCCAGCAAAACGTGGAGTCATGATCAGAGAACCCCACTGAGGACTTTTTAAGACGGGGCAGGTTTTAGCTGTCCGTCCTGCTTGTTTAGAGAGCAGGGTAAATGCAAAACCCATCAGGCAAGGGAACTTGCCCCGAACCATTTGTTAATTTTACAAAAAAAAAATTTAACTTTCTTCTTTTAATAACCTGTGAAATAGAAACAAAAGGCTGTACACAACAAGGGAGCCGGGGGCCAAATCATCGGCTCTTTCACCCTCTGAACTCTTTCACATTCAGACCAACAAGCACCCCATGAAGATCATGGAACAGCGACTCAACCCGA